GTGTTCTTTGTCTGTTTAATTGTGTGACACGAGTACGTGCTTTCAAATCCAGCGGTGGGCAATGGTAGCCAGAAATTCAAACGAAAGCTGACAAACAAACACGTGAAAGGGCACACCAACACAGGAGCCGGGCAGGGAACACATTGTCCAGGACTGAAAACACCCAAACCTGGGAACCAAAAACACCAACACAGGAGCTGGGCAAGGAAAACACCAATCCAGGAACTGGAAACACCAAGACCTGGGAACCAGAAACACCACGGGAACCGAAAACACCAATCTGGGAAAAGGAAACACCACGGGAAGGGAAAACACCAATCTGGGAACTGAAAACACCCAACCCTGTTTCCCTCCTCCTTACATCATTTGAGGCTATACTACTCAAATGGACCTTTTCTTCAGGCTGGCCCATACTACTCATCGGTCGCTTTCAACGCGTTGGTGCTGAGGCCGTGGCTTGGCAATCCAACGCACGACGGATCAAGTCCATTGGCCATGGAAGGCATTGGTCGACGCTCAAACACACTCCCTGCCAGGTTTCGATGTCCGGAAGAAAGAAGGATGTTTCTTGACTTCATGGATAGATCATGGTTCTACTTGACTTGGGAGATTCTCTTTCAAGCAAGTGGGACTTGGAAGGGTTTGAAACGTCTGTCTCTCATCCTATGTCAAGGCCGAGCGAAGAGGGCAAGGCCTCCTATGTTCATGGCGACATCTTGTCAAAACCTACGGAGTTCCAAAGAGTGAACGGTTCAGGGCACTCATCTCTTGGTCTATTGCAGGGCACCCATCGGTCTATGACTCGTGCGAACGCATTGGTTACTCGGTTACTGGGTGTGCAAATGTTGATCTCCTTTCTAGATGTGACCGGTTGCTGCCTAACAGCACGAAATCGCATATCAATCAACTAAAAGTTGTTGCATTTCTTCGCACCATTTGCATTGGGCTATGCACATGCTCCTTGTTCAGAAGGTGCTTCAGCCGAAAGTACGACCTGCACACAACATCCACATGTCACGAAATGGACCTTTCTTTGCAGGGCACTCGCCATCGATGGAGTCTCCTACAGGCGAATTGCAAACAAAACCTGTACCATAAAACCTCTGTATAAAACAAATAAATGCTTGAATCTGAGACCCCTGATGCTCCTCCGCTTCTACAGCTCCTTGGAGGTCTTGCTGGTAGCTTGTTTCTTTCATGCCCTGTTGATAGCAAGTTGTTGAACAAGCTCAACTTCTTCGTCAAACGATTCATCCATGCTCACATTGGGAGAATTGCCATACAGTTCTGACAGAGTCTCTTCCTTTGCAGCACGGAAACATGTTCAATCCCAACCCTTGCCATGCAGATTGTGAACACAAGTCATGAGCAATCCCCCTGAAAACAGGTGAACATTTCACACTCTGAAACTTTGAAACTCAGGAATTGACCACCAAATTCGACAAATACGATTGAACGAAGTCATCAAATCAAAACCATGGTAGTAACCACGATGAGTAAGCAACAAAGCCAATGGTCCATATACCAAACGACGCCTGCACTCGCTCGCACTCTCTCACTGTTTGCCAGCTCAACCACACAGGTTTCAGCCCTTGAGTCGGCAATGGAGGCGGCACCTGCCACTCGGTAGGATGCTCAGTTGTTCAAGGACTTCGCACCAATAAATACTACCAACAGAGGTTAAGTGACCTGAACTAGGACCCTACCAGGCTACCTATGGAATAGCCTATAGGGTTCTTCAACCTCTGTTGGTTTGCCTCCTAGCATCCGACTCTAAAAACATCTCCGAAATGGCGCTTGACGACTTTTTCAGGTGGTGACCCGTGAGTTCGGGTGCCAGTCTGGACAGGGATTGAAGATGATACACCCTGGAAGACAAACATGGACCCTGAAAACCCCTGGTTGGTAGAGGAAAAATAGTCTTCCATGGGACCAGACAGTCAGGGTCTATGTTAGTTTTCGGGAGTAAAGAATGTGGTGCACAACAACTCTGTCCCCGACTGTCCTTTGAGGATCGTGAACTCCTGCGTGTTGACTGGTTGGTGGTCGGCCCACCGTTCTGCGGGAAACGTATCCTCCAAACAGTAGTAGGTTCAGGTGAACGGTAAATGGCCTGTTCTGAGTTCAAACACCATCTGTGATACGTGTGATAGGGGTTCTGATAAACCACCTTTGGGCTCTTGTGCCATCTACATCATCTACCAGCACTCTCTGAAGTTGTAATCGGCATGACATCAGTCACTTTGGAACCAGCATCCACTGCACATCACCAGTAGTTGAAAAAAAAACTACATGATCTTCATCACACCACATGACTCACTAACCATTCCTTCAGACTTTAAGACCCCTTTCAACCATCCATATCCCAACAAACTGAACGTTCTATGCCGAAAAAAGAAGGTTAAAAAAACTATCCCTGATCCTCCCCCGAAACCAAGAAAACAGCCTCCACCCCGGTGGCCCAGTCACCTTCCTCTTCCACCGGTCCTGTTTGCCGCCGCGGTGCTCCTGCCGTGGCCGCGTCCATCGGCACATCCGCTCGTGCTGGAGCCACCAGAGCCGGTCCAGCGCGGAGCGCGCTGGGGGCGCCCAATGGAGCCAGGGCTTCCTACGGAGAGTGAAGATACTGGGTGCCAGGATCGGGGACGACTGGGAAGATACTGGGTGCCAGGAAAATGTCCAGTCATAGCGAACCTGAGGAGGCACGAAAACGGAGGTGTAGGGATACTTGGAGCATAGTCCCCACCATTGGCATGATCTACTCCTGCTGAAAATTATATAAGCTGAAAACCACCAAGAGAGTGTCTATCTGAGTCTATCTTGTGGTTTCCCCACCATTCACATCATAGAGATGGCTGAAAACCCACGGTCCATATTGAAAACCACCAAGAGAGTGTCAGGAGGAGGAGGAGGAGGAGAGGACAGCTCTGATAAAGATCTGATAACCCTTACCTGGCAGGTGAGGAAACAGGGAAAGAAAACTTGAAAAAGACCTAACAAAAGCCCCAAACAGCCAATGTTAATGTAAAACTTCTTCATGATATTGAGCAAATGAGCGAGCGTAGAAACAATTTTGAGTGACCAGTGACCAGCTTCGGTTGGAGTGCCGTAACGGGTGTTCTCAAGAAATGTCTTCATGGTGGCCTTCCAACATGTTGGTGTCTTCATCCACTAACTTCCATTGCTTAGCTACTGAACTTCCACACGAATGAAATTTGACACCGCTTCCATATCTTCACCATCTTCACCCTTCTTTCTCCTCCCTCTCATCAGACTGCCGCTCCTCTGACGGCCCACCCAGTGAAGGATCTGAACGCCATTGATCTTGCTCTCCACCAAGACCTGCCGGTGCTTCCACCGCGAGTCGGCCTCCGTCACGCTCTTCGGCGGAAAGGAACGAACCATTCGACCCTTCGGTTGGGTCCCCAAATGGGTCGTGGCAACAGCAATGCTGGACACTTGGCAAGTATACCTGGACCATCCGACCGTCGGGGTGCGGAGGAAGCCTTTTGGGTAACACGTGTGGGGTAATCCAGCCAGGACACCCCGACAGGGTCCTGGTATACTTTATACTTAGGAGCGACTGCCTGAGGTACCTCAGGTATTCCATTGGAATTTTGAAGAAAGTGATTCAAATCAGGCAGAATCTGGATGAATCATGGTGATTCTGCCTGATATTCTGTGATTCAGGTCACTACAGAATATCTTCATCCAAATGTCCGATCCAAATTCTGGTCACTCCCCCTCGCGTGTGCTTGCGTGTGGTTTTGCGCACCGCGCACGGCGCCATGCATGCAAAGGTTCCACGCATGCGGCATGCGAACGTCCGCGCATGGCCTTGGACCACTGCTCTGCCACAAAGCGAGGGCTGCTTTGGTTCCTGCATGAAAATGGAGGCTGAAGGGCGAAGGGAACGCTGGACGTGAACTTGAGCTCTCCATTGCGTTTGAGCATGGTTTTGACTGGTCAGTGCAGCATGATGTATGGTAAAGAACTCTAGAAACCGTTAGCAGGAGACCCACACGAAGTCTTGTCATCTGTTTTTGTAGGTGTCCACATCTCGACACAGTCACACGATATGGATTCAAAGAGGTGGATTTGGCTCGTTCGGCCTAGGCGTGTACCGGCACACCATGTTCCACTGGCCTCATCTAAATGGTCAACTGTGTTCCACTCACTTGTTTTTGACCATGCTTCGTTTCGGACCACTCACACCCTTGCTCCAGCGTCGACCGCGCCTTGCGTCTCGGACCTGCGCAGAGAAAAACGTTGCGGCACCGGGCACGGATCGCCGGTGTGGACGGTGGGTGATATGGTGGGTGACACCGGTGCCCCCAAAAAGGGGTCCGGCAAGGTCACAAGGACATATAGGCTGAGCCACATCATTTGCGCCACAACGGCTGAGCCAGATGGAGCCACATGAGATTTTGGTCATGTAAGCCATCTTTCAGGGTCAAGTGGGGTGGTGGGACATTGGGATTTTGAGGCAAGACAAGCCGTCTGATAACCTAAAAACTTTCGGTTCCAGTAGTATCAAAATCAATGGCACAGTCGCCCAAACAGTGGTTGTTGATGTACGTCTTTTCCATGTCTCTTGTCCAATAAGTTATAAGTCTGTCTTCACTCAAAGAGTGGTCAACAAATGCTCAAAGCCCATCTTCTGAACCACCATTCACCGAAAATGAACAGCTACTTCGCCGACTCTCGCCCACACAACCGATCTCTGCTCGCCCAAGCAAGCGGCCTGGAAGATGGAACCCAGGCTGGCAGGGAAGTTGAACACCTGCAAACGTCTCAGGCGATGGTGATCGGACACCCGGGAAAGGAAAAGGTCATGGGTCTTTCCAGTCTGAACCAACCGTGAACCGCGGGGGGGTGAAGCTGACCCAAACCATAGATTTTGCTCAATCCTCACATGGGTATTCGTTTTGATTGCACATGAGACTGGGGACCCCAGCTGGAGTGATTCAGGGTTCAGCTAGTGATGCTAGTGGGCTACTGGCTGCGGTCGTCCATGATGCAGAGTTTTTCTGCAGAGTTTGCACCGACCGGGTGGAACAAACATGGCACCGACGTGCGTTTAGGGCTGAGATTCCGTCATGCCAGCGGACTATACACTCCCTCAAGGAAGCGGAGAACCGCCTGTTTGCAGAGGAAACCTGGCCGTCTGAGGGGTCATGCCATCCACGCCATCCACTTCCACGATGATTCCAGCTCCCACTACTCCAGGGAGTATGAGTCTTTTTGGGAAAGTGGGAGCTGGAATGAGATGGCCAAGCAGGTAGCCTCCTGACTCCTGCTTCAACAGACTCCAAGGGACAAGTCTGTTGAGAGCATCCTTCCAAAAGTGAACACGCATCAACTCTATGTCGACTCTAGGTCACCTACCCAGCTAGCAGCATCCACCAACAGCTTGTCTCGAGACCTGGTGACCCTTTCAAATCAGACCTGTGGGAGTGAGGGTTGGAGTATAGGGGATCCAGTTGAACCAAGAACCCTCAAGCGAGGAGCAAAGTGAAAAGAATGTTGCACGAAAAGAACGTCCACGTCCAGCCTGGGACACAAGCACATGCTGGGCACCACTGCAAGGGAAGGCCTCATGCTGCCAAAAAAGATCCAGGAAAGCCATCCACGTGCCTGAAGGAGGCAGCATGTAAGAAGAAAACAAGAACCTGCGGATGGACACCAAGGTTATGTCATGTTCTGTCACGTGCTTGAATGTGTCTTTGCTGGTAGTACGCGGGCGCGAAAAGAAGTGTGAGTGAGAGCCCCAACCTATTGTATCTGCTAAACCTATTGCTGTTGACATGACATCTGCAAACCCTTTGCCTCCATGAGTGCCTTTCCAGATCCAGTGTCATGGGCCTCTACGGCCCAAGCCTTGCCCAACACACATCGACCCTGGGTCATCTGACGCCGGTGGGGCATCTGACGCGGGAGTGGACGTTGGCTTTCGGGGACCAAAGAATCATCCACACGATCCACCCCATATCCATTCAGATGGGTCGTTGACTGTTGACTGAGTTGACTGTTGATGAAAAAAAGACGCAGGAGCCTCGGACATCGTGCTGGACCAGCTAATTAGTTTTTTGTTCTATGTTGATGCCATTCATCAAGTGTCAACATCTGAGATTCTTTCCAGAGTTGTTTCTGGTTATATACTTATAGGTCAAAATGTACGGTATCTACCGCACAACTAGCCAAACGTCAAGTCTCAAGTGGACTAATTCCTGAACACCGTCCCGAAAGATTAATTTCCTTAGACTCAGTGGCCAACAAGGGTTCATCTTGTTCACATCTGCCCAATCTTCTTGAAGGACATATTGATGGTCCGGAGGAAAGGTTTCCCCAAAATGGTTGAAGATGAACTCAATTCTTTTGAACAATCATGACTGGTGCCCCTTCTTCCCTGAAAATCGAACCGGGTCATCCCGTCATCTCCACCCCGGGTCATCTCCCTCTCCGTGCGACCACCGCTCGGGCGCCGGCCTCCACGCCGTCGGAACTCCTCCGCGAAGGGGCCGCGGAAATAGGTCCCAGCCTCCTGGGCCCGGCGGGCGGAGGATCCGGCGGTCGTGCCGTCCCACCTTTTCGTATCTCGATCATGCGTCACGATCGAAGCCACGTATACTTGTCAAGACAGGCAAAAGAGATGACAGGAAGACGATGAACTGGCGGTCATGGCAGCCATGTTGTCCTATTCCTGCGCGGTCGGTTCGCGGGTGGACTGGTGGACCCGCAGGTGGGTTCAACGACCCGAATCAATCCCCTTCCAAGCGGATTTGGAGGTCCCTCCATGTCATGGAGGCTTTTTGGGGCGTTCGTGACCGGCTTCGGGGTGGCAGAGCGGGTCTTTTGCTTCGGGTCGACCTTGCAGGTCGTTTGAAGTGACAGCAACTTGAAGCAAGTGCCGAGAAACGAACAGCCGTAGGTGTTGGACCCTCATCCAAGGTCATCCTCACCTGTTGACTCGCATGCAATTACTTTGATACACATGTTGCTTTCTTTTTGCCAGAGTTCCACCCACCCCAAACAAATGGCCAAAGATTGGTTCAACTTGGAGCCACAACAGCATCCATCTCTCCGGAAAATGTGGGAATGAACCATCACAGAATCAACATGAAAGCGATGCCCTTGTTACTATAGGAATGCCTTTGTTACGAGTAGCGAGCCTATTTCCCCCTTCAGGCGGAGGATCACCGACCGCTCCGCCGGGGTGCTGCGCTACGGCTCAAGCAGCGGTGCAGCTGCTGGGAGGGCCGCAACGCGAAAACACCGTTGTTGATCTCCCGGCCTGGTTGAGGTAAACCGAAGTGGAAGAAGAGACCACCCTCAGTGACCAGTTTCTACTGAGCCTTTGGAGAGTATAAGCAGCATCGTGGTTGTGGTTGTGGGTTTGAAGAGAAGTTCGGGCCACTCCTGGAGACTTGGATGCATCGAATTCGGGTTGGTGCGACCAACACTGTAGCCAAAAATTGTGGCCAGGGGAACTCTCTCATGATGGATTCAACAATATCCCTGGCCAAAAAAAGGTGTCCCTTAAATACCTGGAACAAAAAGGACCGTGTTTTTCTCAGCGATCACTCGATCCATCTCATTCCTTCCTCCATCTCGCCCCGGCCGGGACGTCCCGACGACCGGCACCCGACCGTCGCCTTCGTGGAAGCCCACGGCCACGAAGTGGACGGAAGGCGTTCCCAGCGGCGAGGCCAAGCGCTCCAAGGCGTCTGGGGCCCAAACGCGAACGAACTTGAGCGAACGGGTACATGGGTGAGCTTTTTCTGGAAGTCCGTGAGCGTATTCAGCGTTTTTTTGTTTTGTTTAAGGATTTTCCCAAAAGGAGAATCCATTCAATAAGGAAAACGAGTTGTCGTACATTTGGGTCGTTTCTTCAGTCTTGACAGAGTCGTACATATTCCGTCCCGACATGTGAAACGAAACATCCAACAGAGGTTGAAGAACCCCAACGTTCGACTATCCCAGTTCGGTACTCCAGGTTACGGTCCGAACGTTCAGGTCACTTCACCTACCTCTCTTGGATTGACCAAATGGATGCCAGCACTCCGATGACTGGTGACGTTTCTGGGATCATTTGGTACCGCCCACGTTGCTTAAAAATGGCCACCTGCATGCGGCCTGGTAGTAACATGTAGTAACACATGGTAATACACCTCACCAGCCACAGCGATTTTTAGGCGCTTACTTAACACTTCTGTCTTCTGGCAGATTGGCAAGCAGTTGGTTCAAGCACAGAACTACACCTGGCTGATAGTCATTGGTGTCTGATTCGGAAACACATCCGACATGTCGTTAACGTTTCACCACCCAAAATCAACACCAGAAAAAATAACTGGTCTTGGAATGGTGATCTATGCTTTGAAGCCAAACAAATGGTGTAGCTTTTGACGTGCAGTTTGGGATAGTCCTTGTGTGCTTGTTGCTCAACTCCCCACCGGCCAGCATCAACAAAGTGGATTTGAACAAGTTCAACTGCTGTTTGTCTGATGCCCACACTTCCTGAACATCACACGTATGGTCATATAGTAATACACGAGGTGAGTTAAACATAGAACCTGAAAACCACAGTACAATTGTAGCGGAATGTAGCAAAGGCACAACAATTATCGTCACAGTCTTACTACTGTGATCCACTTTCAGGCTCTTTCACTTATCGGTTCAGGTCCTCTTGCTCGTCCTTCGCACCCGAACCTTTCACTTCCCCCGTGTCCCCTGGTCACCTCGCGACCCGGCGCCTGGGGTGATCGGCAGTGTATCGGCGTCCAAGAAGATGATCTTCTGGTAGTGGAGGCCCCACAGAAGCAGCTTGGGCCAATCGTAGATGGGACCAACGCCACCTGCGGAAGCTTCATCCACTCAAAACTAGGCTATATATATATATATATACACGTTATATATATATACCTATAGAACCTGAGAGAGCCCTGTTTTGACAGGAAAAATAACTAATTGGGTAGTTGATAATCCACAATAATTAGAGGTCACTCAGGTTCAAGGTATACATATATAATATATACAGTAAATAGTAATCAGTTGGTGTATACAAGCAGGACTACAAGCAGGCGCTGGAATTGGCTTGACAAGATCTTGTTTGAGACGTAATTTGGCATGATGCGGCCAAAGAGTGCAACATAGTGCAAATAGATTGAAACCAACTTGTACAAGATTGAAGTTGTGTGTCGTCGGAAAGCAAGGCATTTGTGCATGCGATTGCAATGACATCCACATAAAGAAGGCTTTCTTGCCCAATGTTGGACACATAGCTCGGGAGTCCAAAACAATTCAACAAAATAGCCTTCAGGCGACCCGAAGTCAGGATTGCCAGTGATGCGAACATATATGCAACCTCTAGGGTATTACGTATATATATATATATTAAAATATTGCTTCAAACATCTTCACCAGAAGCCCACTCCGGCGTTTCTGCCAAGATGAACACCACACGTCCCTCGAGCGGCCGAGGTCCGGCGCCTGGCAATTGGCTCGCGGTCCAAATGCCACCGGCGGTCGGCCAGGCGAAAAAGCCTTTCCTTAGACGAACACATCACGCAGTACACAAAACCTTCAGGAAAAGGTTCGTGGCAGATGACGTGTTTTGTAGAGGAGGGTAGCCGGGTAGTCGAACGCATAGCCTTGCCATGCTCCACTTTGATGGTGAATCGAAGTGACAAGACGGATGCTGCTGCTGCTGCTGCTGCTGCTGTCTTACAGTAGGTGATCCAGGAACACCAAGGAAAGAAAAGCTGACATGAACCGGTGGAACTCCGACCTTTCTTTGATGGACATCATCCTCGTTTTTAAGGACCAAGCCCACCTCACCTGAAGCTCTTCCGGACTCCGGACGTCAAAGGTGGGGGGGATGTGTCGGCCCTCGGTCATACCAAAGCCAGCGCACTGGCCTGGTCGTACCAACAGTGGCTTTGCCTTTCGTTGAAGAAAATAACCTCAACGTCCCAGTTCCGGCAAGTCTTTCCGTGGTCCGACTGCCGATCTGCATCATCTGATAAGCCAGATCCAGTTGCAACGACATGAGGTTCGACATACAGCGGTTTCAGAGGTTTGATGGCACAAGTTACCCCAAGTTTGCTGGTTTATATGGACCCTCATCTGTCCAAGACATCTTGGTGTGCCAGTGCCATCTACTCTGAAACCACATGTAGTACTAGTCTTTACCAGGCGAGGGTTGCACACAATGCCATCACTTGTTTCCAAGCACGAGAAGTGCCCTGCAGAAACCTGGATCTAAGAGATTTCCTCATCCGAAGGTGGAATGTCCAACAGAGGTTGAAGAACCCCATAGACTATCCCATAGGTACCCCAGTAGGTCCTATAAGGTCACTTAACCTCTCTTGGGTTGCAATGTTGCATATCTGCATATCCCTAAAACTCCAGTCACCACCTGCAAAAGGTGGGACAGGGGTAGGTGCCAGGAGGCTCCAGTCATACCGAACCTGAGGAGGTACGACTGGAGCCCCAGGGTATTCTTTCGATGTCTCAAAACAACAGCGCCATTTCTTCAGTGAACATCAGTGAACGACCTGCGCCATTTCTTCAGTGAACGACCCGAGTGACATGCTCCCGCTGAATCCATAGAGGAATATAGAGGATGAAGACCAGCAAAGACCTGCCTCTTGGACCATGGCTCTACATGGCGCTTATGTTCCTTGTTTCAGCTAGAGTTGCTTGGGTGTGGCGATATTGGCTGAACGTCTTCCATGCAGTGGAACAAAGTGGAACCACAGTGGAACAACCAACTGTAATTATGCCGTAACCAGAATTCACTTAAAAACGAACCAGGCTTGGTGAAACGAACCAACTCGTGTTTCTCAGAACCAAACCGATTTCATAGATTCCATTGCTCTTAGACCTGTTTGTCACCCTCTGCTTTGTCGGGGCTGCCGGAATCCAACCAAAATGTACCTCATCACTGTCACAGCACTGTGAAACGTAGTTTCGTTGCGCTTTTCGACTTGTGATGGGCTATGTTGATAAAATAGAAACCACGGACTCACAGACCTTCTCTGCAACATCTGGCACTTCTGCAACAAGCCTACGTCCAGCAAGGCTGGCCACTTCTACCACAAAGGGACACTCTCACTGTCACAGATTCAGACCCTTACACTCGCGTATCTATCAGTTATCTCAGGGATCACAATCAACAACAATCCTTGCCACATGTATGTGTTTGTTCTCGTCCCTACTAAGACGAATACGCCCAGACTTGGGATCAACAGTGATTGGACCAGCTCCGTATGCCAACCACCAGGACCCGACTTCACAGGTCACCACCTGCGACTTTTAAGCGCGCAAAAGCCTCCGTTTCGGAGACTGTTTATCGTCAGGTGTTGGCATGGGCCTTGAAGGGTGGGATTCCCCACCATCCCACGCCGCTGCAGTCCTCCCACGCCACGCCGCTGCCGTCCTCGCGCACGCCGCAGTCCTCGCGTTCCAAGGCTCACACGTCCCAGCCTCAGTCCGCCTGCTCGAAGGAAGCGGGCAATGGAGCTGGGCAAATCCTGGAGGGTCTGCGGAGAAACCGAAGGAGACGACCATTTTGATCTTGCTGTTGTGCATCTTCCAGCAACTCACAGCTTACATAGCTCCACTGATGTGTTTGAGGTGTGTTTTGAGGTATGTTCCTCATGCAACTGATATGATTGAGGAGGCATGCTGAAAGATGCGGGTGTGTGTCATGTTCCTTTCGTTTTCATCATGTTCCGGGACCCCATCCATGTCTCTCCTCGGGCACCAGCACTAAGAAGCTTCGCAGCTTCTTGCTCCGCAGTGTGAAGCGCAACGTGACGATGGCTTCCTCATGGCCGGTCGCGTTTTCTCGGGTGGGACCGTGGGTGAATATAGACAGCAACGACAATGCAATGCGACATACAAACACACACCATGGGGTGTTTTCTGCTTTGAACATGATGTTTCTGTTCAAGAACTACATCTCACTTCCTATTCAATATATATGTTATATAGAGAGATAGATGCACACAATATAACTTGATGGGAATCTAAATACCAGTGCCCCCTGAAACAGGGGTGGGTTGATCGATACCCGGAATCACGAGGCCGTAGGATTAGACACCACAACCGCCCGGGGGCCCTGGTATACTATATATGACACCAGCGAGTCATCAGCAACTCCCGGTGTTCGCTCCAGTTGGGCAGGATTGACTGTGACTAGCTGGAACTCCTTGCTGCTTGGACGACCAGGAGACGACCCAGGAGACGACCCGTCAGCATCCCAAAGCGAAACTCATCTCGGATCATCTTGGTGTCTTGATGTGATTTGGTTTGCCATCGAATTCCACCCTAAAGCTTCACAACCATCCCTTTGGAGTCTGCATGAGTGTTCTATTCAGTGGATTCTTCTTCTTCTTCTTCTTCTTCTTGACTCACCTTTACTGGATACGACTCCAACCCATTCCAGCCATACTGGATTGGCCTTTGGTCAGCCTTCAAGAAAAAGGGCCGTGAATGGTGCTGCCACCACGGCGTTGCTGGTTTTGCACGCATCGATCTGATTTGACGCCGTGTCCCAAATCGAACTTCCCACGAAACACGTCCCAAATCGTCTCAAATTCGACACATGCAGTATATCATGTGAAACTGCTTGGGGGGTGATCCGAATTCTTTGTCCCATTTCGTCGGCCCATCAGCCGCTCAACCCAGCCGGCTCAGCCACTTCGGCCAGCGAAGGGTCTGCGAAGGTCCACAACTCTTCCACCGACTGCCTCGTGGTCCATAACACCGTCGCCAGCACCGTGCTCTCGTCCGGTACCGCTGCCGCGAGCACTCCAGAGTGCGGATCGCGGCGTTCGGTACGCCCTGCGGAAGAGGGACGGCCGGAACAAAGGATCGATAGCCCACGAAAGCGAAACCATGCAAAACCTACCGGTACAGGTAGCATATGGTTTGGGGTGTTTGGTGAAGCACAGTCTAATATGAAGTTCGTGCAATGCTTCTTTTGATTTGTTTGGTGATTGTTGAACAAGATATACATCGACATCGATATCCACTTGCAGCTTTAATATATTGTATCATGGGATTCATAAGTTATAGGACCTGTATGCATGACAAAACAGCATGTGAAGGTTAAATCGAGAAGTTTGCATCCCATGTTGCTCACTTTTTGATCAACATCTCCACAAAACCGAGGGTGGTCTGCACACAGTGGACCTAGTCGTTTGCTTCAATGAGGCAGCTGGAAATTGCACCCTTTCACCCTGCCGGCTTCATTCAGCCATTATAGCAACCATGTTTGAAGTTCGCGGACGAGCGCACACTGAAATTACCCTACAAAAGGGTGTGTCCATGAGAGGCAAAGGGAGTATAGTCAGTCCAAAGAAGATGTAAACCCATTGAACAACTCCACTGTGGTGTTCAAATCGTTGACAACCTATGGACTCGCCTTTCAATGTGGCCAGCTGTGCGAATTTCCTCCTCCAATGCAGTGTCTCATGCCGCGCCAGCGCGTCCGCAGCGGAGGACATGGCGGAAGACGCAGTGGCTGAGAACTCGGTGAACATGGTCAGGAAGGCCATCTGAAGGGCAGGTCGACATGGTGACGTTTCCCACACAACTCATCTGACTGCCCTAGGACGATCAGGCCAGGGGTGGTGGTGCGGATCGGGGGTCAGTCCCAGACATGTTGGACGTGTGCCGTGGTTTGGCCACCCGGCATCCCCAGCTCTTGGTTCTTGTGATGTTCACAGAAGCTTTGACCTCCAAGTGCACCCAGGTCTGCGATTCGGGACCACGACAGGAGAAGTCAGCAATAAACTGAGAATGCTTGGGTTCTGGCTGACTTCTCATTCAGGCAGATGTTTTATGCCTCTGGGTGCACCACAACTTTTGGGGGTGGTGCGTGCATCCCTTTGGTATTTTGGTAGAGGCTTCTGTGGCCAAAGAGTATAATATGTTCTTGGTATGCCCCCGCACTTGCTGCATACCGTTTGGGATGGCAGCGATGGGATTGACAAAGGCAAATGCACACATACCAACCAACTCGAACAAGCAAGAATTTTTCAAATTTATAACTGGTAGACCAACTGCTTGCCAGGCTCCACATCTTTCTTTCGCAAACTCACGCACAATCCATAGATGCATATCACCCGGTATCACCCCAGCAAGCTATGTTCAGGTGGCTTCTTTCTGCCCTGTTCGCATCGATTGTTTTGGGCCTTGTGTGCTGCAGACCAAAGATCATCCATCAGCTGGGCCTCCTGCACCTGGGACACGCAGGACAAGGATCGATTCTCAAGACACTGCAGGTTCACAGCCACAAATGTCTTCAGCAACCTCGGTCAACCTCTCCTTTTGATCAGCTGTGAACACGCTGGTTCACACAGACTTGGGTGGTTTGTTCAAGAGCAAGAAGTCCAATATGGTCCTTGGTTTTAGCGCGCGATACGTCACCCACCGTGCCACAAGTTCCTGTATTTTTCCTCCAAGGAGCCCACTCGCCTTGCACCGCTACTGAGGCTGCGCAAGCGGGACACCAGCGAGAGCGTGACGCAGGCAGCGCGAGTGGTTGCGAGGCACAGTCTAAAGCGGTGGCACTATGCAAAGAGGCCTTGCAGGATGATGAGCTGGTTGTGGATTTTGACTCACAAGTTGAAGTCTTGATTGAACAATATGATCGTAATTATGTCTGTTGAATACTGTTTTTTTTCACGGTTGATCCCACCAACTGCGGGCCAGCTTGAAAAGGAGTTCAAGCAACATGTTTCATCTCACCTGCTTTTCACATGAAGACCTCGACATCTATCAACAAAAGAACTACATGGCTGAGATCGGCATGGTCATGTGGAGACTTGAACTGCGGGACCTAGGCTTTGAGGCAACTGGACTCATTTTTTGGATGTGTTGGATGTGTTTTTTTTTCCGCGAATTGGATGGGTCATAAGCATTTGATGGGGCACCGCCACAAAACGCGCGCGGAAGGTCCGTTCTTCAACACCTAATATTCCAGTATAAAGGAACGATCTTGAGACCAGGCCAATCTGCAGACCCCTTGAGACCAGGTGATTTCCCCTCAAGAGTACCACAGGTGGCCGAGAGCTGTGAAACCAACAAAACCATAACATGGCGCTCTGCCTGAAGCTGCGAAGCAAACATCCAAGGCTCTTATGCCTGGATCTTCCAATGCAAAATGTCCGCCAGTTGGCTGGTTTCAATTGATGTTCAAAGGCAGCACTGTTACATCATGTTACACCAAGAAAAGGGATGGTTTCCAGGCACCAAAGCTGTCGGGTTTTCATGGAAAACCCCTCCTGCAAGCGGCTGAGAGCACCCCAAAGAAGCTGCGACTTGGGTTGTAAAGATCCCAAGATCGGCTGCACCGCGGCGTTCAGCGCCGCCACGCGCGCCAGGTGGTGGCCCAAGGCCTCGTGAGTTCCGGGGAACCCGGTCGTTCGAGGTCGTGAAGTGATGAGATGTCCATGTGTCGATGTTCTCTAACATCAAGCATCTGGAGAATATAAAGACTTGTACAGTTGTAGTTTCTATAGATGTTTCTAGGATATAATTCCATGTTGAAAAAGAAAAGGAGTCTATGCGATTGGTCCTAAGGTCAGTTCGTTTGCTACAGTGTGATCACCTTCATCGAGACGTGTGTTGGAAGACAGGACCCTGGACTGGGCCGCCATGGTCTCTTTGTTTGGACTTCATCAAACCGGGCGCCGTTCGCTAAAGAAGCCGAATGGATGGCGTCAGCATGACGTCAGGACCGACGGCACTTCCCGAGCGCAGCGTGCAGTGTCCGACTGACAACCAAAACATACCAGAACAACGCGAAGAATCAGGAACGTTGCCTTGTTTCAAAACAGCGCCGTTTGATCCATGAATCCATTCGATCCCAACTCCAGTCGTGTCAACCAGGGGCCCTGTATGGCCCTGTCAACCGGACCCAAAACCGCAACCGAAAACGAACAGACCCCTCCGCGTTTCACGAAGTCCCCTCCCCTCCAGTCCCACGCTCGTACCCACACGTCGTACCCGCGTCGTACGTCGTACGCGCCTGGCTTCCCATCCTTCCGAGCTCCTCCTTCGCCAGTCGCTCCGCTGCCTGAGCCTCACCATGCAACGACTGTGACGACCGAGGAGACTGTGACGACACCGAGTGAAGGGGGCAAGGGCACGGGTGCGCCGGTCAACAGCAGGGCATAGATGGAGTCTTGCCAAGACGGAGTCGGGGAAATCCGATATGTTGCTTTGAAGAATTTGCAGCAGGAAAGGACTACGATCCAAAGATTCATCCAATCGTTAACTGAAAAGGCCAAGCAACCGGAATGTCATACCGCTTCCATAATTAATAGTGGCGTGTTCTTCACACCTGCTTTCAGCAGCAAACAGCACACCTCCAAAGAAAGCGAATAGAGATCGGCACCGAAAGTGGCAGGTTTCAGAGGTGTGTGTAGCCAGAACAGTTCGCCAAACGAAGGAACAACGTAAACATCCATCCTCATCCCACCCAATCGATCGGCTGGGGGCCGCCGGCTGCGGCACCAGCCTCTCGCCAGTGGCGCAAACCCAGTGATTTGTACCGCGAACGGGAGACCTGCGAAAGCGCAAAAAAGACGCGCCGCGTTTTTGTGGAGGATTTGGATTTGAAAAGAGGAGATGTCTGTAAAGCCCTGGAGATAGCATTTGGATTTGGATATGTTTGGATGGATTCAACATGAAGCACTTCAATGAAGAAGTTGTTTCTTCGTTCTTAAGATTCGTTCTGGTGTTTTGGTCAAGGATTTGGGCTAGGGGAGAAAGCGAGGAGCTGTGAGGTTTTGCTCACTCAGCAGGAGGATGTGGAATGGCTTGGCAAAGGACTCCACACTCTTCTACAAAGCGAGCCTGACTTGAAACGAGGCGATCTTCAACCGTGGCAGTGGGTCAAAAAGAACATTTTGGTTGACCTACCTGGAAGGTCAAGCTACATGGTGTGACCAGGCTCCAGGTTTTGATCCGCCCTCTTCAGTAAAGCAATGTGAAACAGTTTGTAGAGCTCTATTAGATGTTCAACCCATTCCCTTCGAGAAGATGGTGGAACCAGCAGGCATCAACTTCTGCTAAGATCGACGTCACTCGAAGCAAACAAGTCATCCAGGACCACAGAACTCCTCACGAATATCTTGAACCTCCACCACTCCACCAGTGATAGATATATGGCCATCTGGGTTCGCATTGTTGCACCGCCCATCACAAACACCATCCAACGACCATCAGTTATTGTGATGGCTTCTAATCTTGCTCAACTCGTAGGTCGCTGGCCCCCAAAACGCCTGGCTCAAAATGAATGGCAATGGCCAGGAAGACCAAAGCAAATCACTCACCGTGGCTCTGGTTGCCACGTACTTCCTGAGGCATGCACGAAGTAGCCGTTGCCGACCGGACCCTCCGACTTAGAGTCGAACACAGCCGGAGTTGCCGACCTAAAGGGTGGATCCGTCAATCCCTAGGGATTGGAACATGCCATCCATTTTTTGGGGAACTGCTTTCATGCAGTGTTTCGCATATATGTGACACCCTAGGTATGCCAGCTATGCCAGGTATCCCTGTGCTGTCTACATGTCAACTCGCCAGTGACCAGTGACGAGTTCACGGACGACGGACAGAACCGATTCCCCTGTCCAACTCTCGGATTTGTTCAAGGAACCCGGAAAAAGACATACTGCATATTCCCTCACAAGGGGATTTAACATATATTGTAATATATGGTACTATATGTTATATTGGGAATACATGGGAAGACAAACACCACCCGATCCAAACAAATCCACAACTCCAAGCTTCGACAGCAAAGTCGCCCTCGTCGCCGTCGATCTCGGCCCTTGTCGCGACCACTCCTGGCGCTGCCACGAAGCGAACGACGAAGACGAGTGGAAAGGACGCTACGTTCGGGGCTCCTGGCCGTACTACTAGGAACTAGAAGCTACGAACGGAACAAGGGCATTTCTACTAGAAGCAAGGACGCTACTAGTAATGAATTCTTCATCATTTTCATCCCACTGCAGATTTGCGAGTGATGCAGCACCCCATCACCACGCGATGCCCACGCAATGCATGCCCTGGTGCCCACAGCGCAGCAGGAGTGTTTGCCGTGACAACATGTGACAACTATAGATGCAGTTTGTATAGTTGGCAAAAAAAATGAGGTTTGGGTTGACTCACCTTGAAAGAACACAAGCAATCTCCTCCCTTGCTTGTTGAGTTGTAGTTCCTTCGTGCTGCACCTTACTCATCCTTACGCTTACGCACCTCCTGAAACATGATGAAAACACAAAACACCAGTTTGTGGGCCAAAGTGCTCGTGTCCAAAACATTTGAACATGTGAGTTTTTGAAAACGTGGAAAAAAACTGGAGGCCTCCAGGGCATCCCCACTCCTGCAGCCAGGCCATCGCCAAGTGCCCCAGTGGGCATCCGCTGTACCAGCGCTCACCCAGCTCCAGGGGGACCGGGAGCGGCAAGACTGGCCACCTGGTTGAGAAGAGGAGATCGACGTTGGAAATGGAGGGACAGGATGATGGCACCCATGATACCCACCTCCAAGAGGTGTTCTCTTTGAGATTTGAGTTGAGATAGAAGATATAGAACCACATCAGGTTGTGTGGATATGGAACTTGAAGGATAGAAACCAATTAGAAACCCGTCAAGCCGAGTGTTGACCGAACGCCGGAAGGGGCGCAGTGCCTGGCGGTGGCCGTCGCATCCCAAAGCTCGTCTCGCAACTGGTCCCAGGAGATGTTCTCCACCAGCCCGACACCTGGAGTGGCATAGGTGCGGAGGTAACTTTCATCCACGCCATGAAGAAAAACAAGGGCCAAAGCGGCCAACACATGGGTTTCGGGGTGTTTTTTTGCCTAGGGCAAAGTGACCGGAGGAATGCACAAGAATGGTTGTTTTGTGGTGTTTTCAACGAGACAGTCTGCAAAATTGCTTGACACACCGTGCACTCATCTTGATCAGATCGGATCTTCGTTCAGAAAGTTTAATCACAAACACACACACACACACATGTGAACACCCACAGAGCTCCCCAGTGTATTACACCCAGGTTCTGCAGTTGGTGGAAACGTGTATTGAGCTTGATGAGCATCCTAAAGCTCCAAATAGGTCCAATCTACATAACTCATCTACAAGTTACAAGACCTGGATATACCTGGATATACAAAAAATGGCTTATACCGTATACCCTTCAAATGAAGTAACTTAGGGTATCGCCCACAGTCAAGTTGGGATGAACATCCGCCTCTCCCGATGCCCCAGGCGCATGAGAGCTGCGGGTTGTACGCGGTGGCCGTCGTGGACAGCAGAAACGCTGTGCTCCACATCTGGCTGTCATCATATTGAAGGCTCCAAGATCATGCACAAGGCTGGCAGGCTGACAGGTCATGATTTGAGTAGGACAAAACCCCTGCAAATGCCAGTGTTCCCTATAGTGATATGGTGGTTCAGGTTCATCTCTCAGTCTGGTAGCTACTGTACACCAGGAAAATCCTTGCAACACATCCGGGGAACAACAAATTCACCATGACACAGACTGCCACGACTGGTAACCTGGCAAAGTCCTTGCAATGAAGGTTTCCCAATGGCACAGCGTGCTTAATGCCCATAGATTTTAAGTGTCACTTTGCTTGAAAGTCGTCTGGCACAGCGCCGAGGAATATCGTTTTGTTGGGAACCCATGTTGGATCAAAACGCTGTGGTTTGCATGGAAGGGCCAACTACCTGTCAATACCTTACTGGGTTTTACATGTAAGTAACATGTTTTACTTACTTCTTCTTTGGAGGTTCTTGGAGCTACCAGGTGATGTATTTCTGGAACCACACATACGGAACACATACCATACATCACAGCTGTCCGAACACGTGGACAGGGACACTCTCTCTCTCTCTCTCCCTCCCCTGAGTCGAGTCGCAGCTTCGGATGGTGGGTGGTTGAGTCGTGTCTCGAGAGTGAAGAAGCGCATGGTCAGTGTGGCTTCGGGGTGTCTCGAAACCGGAAGAACATAAGGGAAATCAGAGAGAGACATAGAGAAAGAGACTGAAAGCTAGATTCTCAACTTGATGAAAGGGTTGCCAAGATCGTCGAGCTGCTTTGACGCTACGTCTTGACTTGCTTTACTTAGTGCATGGTCTTGAGTCACAAAGAATTGCATGTGAGGACATGGTCGTTGCCAAATGACAATTTACGCAACACGCACTCAAACAGGCAGCAAAATGAACCAACAATAAGCAAACCGACCTTTCCTACACACAAAGGCCCTGTGCCCTATGCGCCTGTTGTTGTTCCTATACTCAAATCTCCATCATGCAACATTGTTCCAAACAATGAGAACACCCGAACAATAATGGACGTCTAAGTTTCAGAACTATGTACTATGTCATCCTCTTTGGACTTTCAGTGGACATTCACCTTGGTGTTTTGCCGTTTGGATCTGGTGTTTCAACCAAAGCTTCCACACAGCGGCCGTGCGGGGATACCCTCCCGTCCGGTCCCTGCGCTGTTTTTCCCTTCGCTGGTGCACCGACGGCGCTCGGCCGGCGCGGCCGGCGCTCTTTGCCAGCTCCGGTTGGAAGAGTGGAATTCCGGTGTCCATCGCGGGTTCCGCTTCTGGGTTCCATGGGGGATCAAGGGGGATTCGTTGTTTTTCTAAGGCTCCCAGGCGAAGATGAAACACCTCATGATTGTGTAATATTGTGTACAGTAGTTGGCTGTAGAAGTGAAGAATGATGAAGAGATGTGTTCTCTGGCAGTTGAAGGCAACTCCAGTCACAACAAATATTGGCAGCATTCAAAGAATAAGAATTTGCACATTGTAACACTCTGAGACGATCATTGCAATGCAAGGTTGCAGGCGCATACACTTTGCGATCAACAAGGGAGCTGAGTCTTCATATCAGTCTTATTTTAGTCTGCGAGGGGCTGGTTCTTTCGACGAAGGTTGCAGCAGCTGCCCACAGAATCCTAGTAGCGGCAAACTGCAGCGAGGATTTCTTGCCTCCAGCACTGGTAAAGCAGTGGGAAGTACATAAATAACATAAACCTCGCAGAAAAGGATGCATCTGGCTGGGGATATTCAGGTACATGACTGGATATGCCATTGACTGGTGGTTCCATTTGAGCCTATCAGGTCAAGTGATACACGTCCGATATGACTCTGATTTCGTTGAGCCAGCGACCAAGTGACCCCAATCTAAGGAGCTCCAAAAGCAAGAATTGTTTACCACATGTAATGGATAACTGACGACGGGGGTGGTGAACGTCCTGGGGCGCTGCTTGGCTCCTTGCTTCAGGGAAGAACTGGACCTTGCTGCGGCCTAGTGTAGTCGCTCCCTAGTGTGGTGGATGTATAGGGACCAATCTTCATGCCTCAACACCTCGTGCTTATAGAATTACTTGCAGGTTCTCCTACTGCTGTAGGATTTGCAGATTCTCTACTACAGTTCAGGGGATACACCAACTCACTTGAGGATCCGCGTGTCTCACCTGTTATTGCAAGTTATATATATATATTATATACTACCTGAAAATGCTCCTAAAGCCCGAATCAAGGATGAACAGAATGGATCTGCTTCTGGCTGCTGTTTCTTTATGCGATGACATCGGGATCCGGCAGCTTGTACGACCCTACCGTGGTATAGCGCACAGGTGGCACTGTCAGCAAACTCATGGTCTGGCGGCAGGCGATACCTGCGCAGGCGAGACTCGTCTGTCTTTGGTTATCGGTGAAGGAAGTGAACGGTCACACAGGGTCACACACGGGGTTCCACCGGTCGTTCGTGAAGAACCAGAAGCAAACATGGCCCGTGTTCGCTCCATGTATCAAATCGCTACCAGGACCATCCTGTGTCACCTGGCTGGGACACCCAGATGGTCAGATGGTCCTGGTATATACCATGACCCTGACATCAATGGTTCTGGATGTGGAACGTACACCGTCTTTTACTCACAAAGAAGAGATTGGTCACGACCCGAGCGGCCTGTTCACCGGGTCATCCCTGGGTAAAAAATGCTCCTAGTAGTGTCCTTGCTCCTAGTAGTAAGGCCAGGAGCCCCCTAGTAGCTTCTTGTTCCTAGTAGCGATGCCAGGAGCCCCTAGTAGCGTCCTTGCTCCTAGTAGCGATGCCTTAAAACTGGTTTGTGTGTCTTTTTTCCCCCAAGGAGAACAGTCACCATCCAGGCCAATCCGGGTTTTCTTGGGACGTGGCAGCAAGCGCTGAGCAAAACGTGTTGAGAAGAGGGACTCAAGTGTTTTCCAAAATCCTTTACTGGACTCCCTGAGTTTCCCTAAACGAATTTCAGGTTCAAACTGTCCACCCATGTGCTGCCGGTCGTCGGGTGGCCACCCATGTTCATCCCCAAGAACTCAAGAACATTTTAGCAGGTGATCCACACTCACTGGGGTGCTTCAAGATGGATGGTGGGTCATCCTGCAACAACAAATGGAAGTGGTCACCCACACCCCCAGTCTTTAAAGGAAAAACATCACTCAGGACTCACGACATTACTTCATCCGGGGGGGTTCACGCCATCCACTTCCGTTGCAAGGAGGGCCACTTCATCACTGGTCACTGGTCACCACTCCCAAACCTCATGGTGTCCCAGTCCCTACCCCTTGCTCCATCCTTGAGCATGTCTGAATCCACTCCCGATCACCTCACCACTCCCCCAACATTCGGGCCTGGGAAACCGGCGATGCATTTGGCCAGTTCACTGGCCGCCCGCGCGGTTTCGTCCTGGCCGGGACGTGGAACTCTTGTTAGTTGTTCAATCTTTCTGGGAGCATGATTGTTCTTATTAGTTATTATTCAACAATCTGTTTTGGCCAGAAACCTTTGGAACTTCTTTCCTTCCAACTGCCCTGCCTGTCTTGCACCAACAAAACACATTCTCCCAACACGAACGCTCTTAGACCGCCGAGTCGCAGGTCGCAACAGTGGAGTCAAAAAGGAACCCAAACAGTGGAGCCCCTCGCATTCCCGACACAAAAGCATCGAATCGGCCGTTCCTTCTTCCTTCATCGCATCCCCCTCGCGCCTTATTGGGCCGGACCTGGTTGAGGATGTTCAGCTCCTGCAGCGCTTGCGCGTCCAAGGTGCCGCTGCTGATGCAGAGCTGCGAGGCTAAGGCGGAACCCACCAATTCCCCAAGGCACTCCTGGAGCGACGGGTCGGAGCGAACAGCGGTCTTCCTTCGCCGAAGTCAGCGAGTCGGGTTGGAGAAGAAAGGGGTCTCTGAGAGTCAGGCATTGGATCTATGGATTTATTAATACTGTATATTTCTTGTTACTAATATGGATTGATGTGTTTTAGAAGTGTTTTAGATATTCAGTATCCACGGGAAGTGTGTTTGTTCTAGAGGAACTAATTGGTCTTTCACTCAGGGCCCGCGAAACCAGTCACTTCCATCCTTGTTTCTGGGAGGGTCATGCCATGCTGATTCTTTCCTGAGGAATCAGCTCCTTTCTGGGGCAGAAAGACGTGGGGCTCAAGTTGCCGAAATCGTGACCTAAAGGCTTTGCTGGGGTCACTACTACTCAAAAGTCATATTGTGTGTTTTTTTCTGTCGGTTGAGATATCTCAGCAGCTTGTATTGACTTGCTGACCAATGAGCTGCAGAGTAGAGTGTGAAGCATTTTGAATCCACTGGATGTTGGATCTCCTCAAACTTGGCCTGCGGCCACTGGCCCCTGTCTCTCTCCAGACCACCCCTTCCCCCTGTCTCTCACCACCCCTTCCCCCGGGCCGGTGGTGAGATGATAGGCAAGAGGAAGTCAGTGTCATTGGAGCAGATTCGGTAATCACAGCCCAGGACCAGTTGCCATGAAGGTCCAGCAATCTTGCCTGGCAGTGTGTTTGTTTGATAGGGCGGCATGCAGTATTGCCATGGATGTCGCTTGATCTTCTAGGAAATGATGTCAAAACGGAACAACATAGGGATGATTCCATGTTGAAAGGCGAACCATTAATGCTCTACCGATTTGGTGATTACGATAGAATAAAGATCAATAAAGTACCTTGGAAGCATTGTGCGACAGGGTTCGTGAAATAGATGTTTGCTGCCAACACAATCAAACATTCCGGATTCTATGCATCCAAGCACATACCAGGCAAAACACATACCAGGCATCCCTTGGCCCAGATCTACAGTGGGTTTCAGCGTAAAAAATCGATTGCAGCTCTCTCCAAGGTCGACCCTCTACCCATACAGGCACGACCAGTGCGGAAGATCGAGCACCAACGACACGGTGTTCTGCAGGTCGGCTTTCTCGGGCGACAGGAGCCCAGTGGTTCATGGAGAGATTGCGTGAAAAGACTCCAAAGTTCTTCAGCTCATCAAGACTTTTCTGAAGAGAACAGATGAGCTGATCAATCAAGTTCCAATCAAGTTCGTCATCATCAATCATCAGTGATTGGGTTCTCTTCAGTTCCAGTGATTCTCAATCAAGTTCCAGTGATTCTCAATCATCGTGCTCAGTTGCACCAAGTATACTTGTGACGAACACCAAATACTATCGAAGATACCATCGTTCCGCCGTCCGTCGGCGTGACTGGAGTCAGAGGGCGAGTCTGTTGGGTTCCTGGTGAACACTCCCTTGAACTGGATTTGGAGTTCTTTTCAGGGCCATGCCATCCACTTCCAGTTCTAAGTTCCAGGGAGTGTATGTTCAGGCCAACACGAGAGTTCGGCCGAGTGTGCCCAAATCCATCAGACACACCCATCTTCTGAGCCGAGTGGGAGAACCACATCTCTGGGAGAAGCTGGTTGTGGAGGCATGGTTGATGAGTAGACTTCTGAAAACATCTGAAAATCTGAGTCTCCCGCAGATTCACGCGAACCCGTCCATTCACCACGGTGCGTTTCTTCAAGATCACATCGACTTCCGTTCATGTCAGGATCCGAACATGCACGGGGGTTCCACCCAATCCGCCAAGGTGCCACAAGCAGCCAGGATGATGGGAATACCTCACCCCACCGTGTGAAAGTCTTCCTTCGTGCTACCAAAAGTTCCCCCAAAATCATGGACTGGCTGACTGGCTCGGTGCTTTCAATCAGGAGCTACTAGTAGCTTCTTGTTCCTAGTAGCAATGCCAGGAGCTACTACAGTAGTAGCTTCTTGATCCTAGTAGCAATGCCAGGAGCTACTACAGTAGTAGCTTCTTGATCCTAGTAGTAATGCCAGGAGCTACTAGTAATCCATAATAATAAGGCTAAAACGATGTTGAAAGTCTGGTTGTTGACAACTGGACGTCTCGCTAACGCAGTCTATCCATTTGGATATGGCACAAGTGCAAAGCTATCAACCCCTAACAACAAGCAACAACGAAAGAGTGAGTCTCAGCCATGGTGGGATCATTGTCATGGGTATATCCTATTCCCTGGGCCCAGTGGATGATAATGGTTAGGTTGCAAGCCTTTCCATCTCTAAAATAGTGATTTGCTTGTGAAACCCGTGGGCATTTCAGCATGGCAGGCCAATGGACTTGCCAAACCCAAACACCGAAAATCATCCACGACCCCCCTACTGGGGGGATTTGGGCGGGCCGTTACTGAGTTTGGCACCATGGCCGTGGCCGTTGGATTCAGACTGTTGATTCAGAAATCGCCACCCTTCCCCAACAACGACACAGGGATGGTAAAAAGCTCTGAAGGATTTATTTGGGGGTGAAGGCTTTGATTTAAAGGTTGAAGACTCCATTGTATTTCAATCCCCCAAGCCTGAAGAGGTTTTGAAATCCGTGGGACATGGTGAGATTTAGGAATCAACAACAGTCGAAATTACTGAATCATGCAGCAAAAACAAAGAAGTTGATATCCATTGATCACACCTACTACCATCACCTATACGAGCTACCATCAACGTCTCACCGTCTCTTCGCATGGACCTGTGTTCACCTCTGCTCAGGACTCACGTGTGAAACAAAACAACTCCGGACGCGCCAAGCTGATTGGTGTTTTCAACCCACTTGACTTGATCTATTCCCAAATGATTCCAAGTTGTCCCACGCTAAAGGTTCAACAAACATATCAACCACCAACGAAAACACATCTCAATTCGAACCCGCACCCAGTCGTTCTCACAAAAAGAAAAAGACACTTCACAAGTAACACACATATTATGTTTCACCTCTCTTTTCAAACCAGGTCACTCAAGGATCGCAAGCCCACCAAGAAGTTCCCACTACTCAAGGCGTAGCTGTGCATCTTGCTGGGTCCCACCAAACCCTCCAAATGCATCACCACTGCCTTCGTCCGATTGGACAATCAGTCGTGACATGTCGCGAAGCGATCGTGAATGAAGACGAGAAGACGATGTAGCGACGACGATCCGATTGTTTTGGGGTCAAGCAGGGTGCCCAAGTTTGGACCCGCCACTTTGATCCGTAGCATCGTCCACTATCGTCCACTAAGATGAGGCATTTCAGATTTCACAGCTGCACTCAGCTGCACTAGCTTCTGGGATCCTGATTCATGGACAATATGTCCAAAATACATCTTTGAGAAACACATCTTTGGCAACTCTTGATCCTCTGTCTGTGTGTTAAGGAATCTGCAAAGATTGAAAGCTCTGCGAACATGGGCCTACAACGTTACGTGAAATACGGACGACCAAGCCCATGGAGCAAAACCTGCACACCGGTGCATGCAGGCCAAGACCTTAATGATAAGTCCTTATAACTTATATACATTAGTCAGCTATTGATTTGCATACGTTGTCATGCTTGCAACCCGCCAGGAGAGTTGTTTCGATCGACATGCGTGCTCAAGAGGATGCTCTGACACAGAGGACCGCCGCTCTGCTTCGAAAACGTCCATTGGACCTGGATGCTCAACATCTTCCACCTCTTCGAACCAGTTCCGTTCACACATCCCGACGTCAACGAACCATAGACCCGGGTCCGTACCCTGGCCCCCTGGGTCCGAGTGGTTTTCCGAACTACCAACCGACGTGGTTTTGAGGGTCCATGGCATCGTCTTCCAGATTGTGACCTTTGGACTGAAGGCGTATTCCCCAACCTGGGCGTATTCCAGGCCTTCACGTTGTTCCGCGCGCGTTGCATGTTGTGGAGTGTGGCCACCGCTGCTTCCAGCGACTCCTTCGCAGGGGCGAACGTGTCAACAGAACTGCCTCTTCACTTACACCATGGAACCTGAACCATGAACCTTTAGAAGACTATTTTCTCTAGGGCGTACTCTCCTAGCCGGCCTGGTTGATGCTCCTCCCCTTTCACTGCCCTGTTGATCTCAGTAGTGGAGACGGTTCTCAGCGCTATGTTTATAAAGTGTACTCTACCAGGACACCCTAAGGGGTGTCTATTGATAGCTCCTTAGAGGTTAAGGGGTGTCCATTAACCATCCCTTGTGGGTCCTAGTACATTTAATGATAATTTTGGGCCTTTCTGAAATTCCACGCCGACTTGCAATTTTTCTCGACGGGATTTTTGATTTACTGCTCAGCATCATATCCCATCCTCCAGGAAAAGGGGCAGAATCGTCTCAACTAGCTCAAAAAATCATCTCAATATATCTCAATTGAGAATGTCTTAAACGAAAAGAACAAAAACTGTCAGAGCACAAGCAACACTTGTCCGGACAAAGAAACGCTTGAGCGTGAAGAAAATCACAGCTTGCCCAAACAAAAACGGATCACTGTCTCGTCCTGCGAAGACATTTCACTGATCTCCTTGGCTTCGAACTTTGTGAACTGCACGAGTGAACTTGTCAAAAGAAAGAAACCACTGAGACTCGAATCATCAGGAAGCTGAAAACTATGGGTTTCGCAACCCGCTGAGTAGTATTGCATGTTTGTGTTTTCAAATTTGTTGTCTTGGTTGGTCTTCCTTGCAACCTTCAATACATGATCGGAAACAAAAAAACATAACAAAACAACTGATGAAGGCACTATTTTTGGTCGCCCCGCTGGGTGACTGAAAACAGCATGAATCGAAGCGCCGTTGTCGTGCGACGTTTGCTGCCAGGTCACCAAGTGCGCACAGTTGAACTCGTCGAAGAACACCCTCGACGGCTTGAGTCCGTTTTGGTCGGAGCTTGGACAAAAGAACACACGGCTCCGGCCGTGTGGATGAAAGAAAACCTATATATATATAAGAATCCATGATAAGGTCAAGTACCAGAACACCCTAACTAAGGGGCTTCGATTGATAGCCCCTAAGATGTGATTCGGGATGTTCATGAACCACCCAACTCCTGTGGGTCCTGCTCTGGATGATTTGCTTACATTGGGATGGTCTCCTCCGATCATGGAGGGTCTGGGACATGCGATGAGGCTGGATGAGGCTGCCACTAAGATCGACTGGCGACACACTTGGCCTACCAAGTCCCAAGTCCCAGCCTCTCTGCGTTCGGCAGGGTTTCAATTAGAAAAGGGCATAGTGCAAGACTGTCTCCTAGTGCAGGGGTGGCTTGCTGAGTTTTGTGGCATCTCTTAGAATTTGAGCCATTCAAGCATCTCGTCATGATGATCCGCGAACCTCCACCCGCTACAACTAGATCTTCACATGTCCTCCATTTCTTCCTATTTCTTCCATCGCTTCATGTACCTCCTAGCTGTGCAGGCCGAGGACCCAAACGCCCCATGTGCGGACCCTACGTGGGGTCGACACCCTTCGACCATCTTCGACCGGCCTGGCCTGGCGGAGCTGGGCTCCAAGCTCTTCAGCTGCGTGTGCGCCAGAAGCTGCCGCGCCCGCGCTTCCCCGCAGACAGCACTGCAGCGCTTCAATGCCTGGGTGGGGAAGAGGAGTTCTTCGGATGAACGAAATTGGCCTCAAAGGACAGTCTGCCTCCTTAGGTCTCAGTCTGCCAGTACAATCAACTAATTAATAAACTATATTGTAATAATTCCAATACTTTCCAATACTTTCCATATAACTACTGGGTGTGAGAAACAGAAAAGCCCTTCTTCTCTGATACAGCCGTCCTGTATCACTCCGAACAGCCGGTCCGGTCCTCAGTCCGATCGAAGGAGCTTCACAGCGCACAGCGGACTTCACTCATTCACCTTCTTCGTGGACATTGCGACTTCGTGTTGATTGAATCCGATTGAAAGCAGCCCAACGAAATACCAACATATTCGGTCCCATTCTTCATTGCACTTCCGTGACCAAACAACAGAAGCGCGACAAAAGCCCGCGACAAAAGCGCGGGGAGCGGCGCGCGGTCGCGTCCGTCGGTCGCCGTCAGCTCGGACGGCTCGGCTCGGCGTCCGGGCAGAGAAGGATCGGATCTGTTGAAAGATTCGAAGTGCCTCCTGTGTGTTCGATGGGCAAACAGAAGAGAAGGTCGCAACTGAACACCTGCCACGCGATGTGTTAGATGTTTTGAATATATTATATTAGTCTTGTTAGTCTTGAAGATCCAACGAACATCCAAGAACTGAACACCATGTGTTTGTTTATTTCTTTTTAGGTCTTCTTATGTCTTCTTTATTCGGGGGGGGCGGCGGAGTGAACCACATCATTGATACGTCTTGATGTTACTGTTGTACTGTTCTTTTTGTTGTGGGGTGAGTTCGACTACGCGATAAAAGAGTTGCCTAATGGAATCAATCGTATTTCAGATCCTTGGCAAATCTGCCATGCTCAGCTACTCTGTTGGACATCATCTGGCATTTGTGGCAAAGGACCTGTGGAAACCACTGAACACAAGCGCAAAAGTCGCTCGCGCAACTCCCGCGGTTTTGCGTTTCTCCTGCGACTAGACTGCCTTTCAAGCATGCACAAGAAGGCTTGCTCTGACAGGAATCGGATGAGTAAGGGGCATAGCTTGGGATGTCTACTATCCTCTTCAATGGTGAGCATCCCAGACTGATTTCAGGGCTAATTACTTGCTTTTCTTTCTAGGGCTATTTGCTCCGTGCCGCATAGCTCAACTAATCCAACAGTTGAAGAATCCCAAGTTCTGCATATAGCTACAAAAAAGAAACACCAACAAAGCAACAGCGTTCCCACAAGAAGTTGGCGTTGCTTTATTATCAAACCTCCTCATGAGCTTTGTCCATCCCATTCCTTTTCCTGCTGACGCCCATCTCCTTAGCACTCTTTTCGGCTTCCAAGGCATCTTCCATCCGCAACTGGACGGTGGCCATGCAACACAGAGCCACCCCCTGCCAGGCGGAGCTTCAACCCTTCGAAGGTGAAATAAAACAGTTCCTTCGTGCCGTGCATGTCAATTGGTGGGCTTGCGACAAGAAGATGGACGTGCTTGTGACCAGCAACGGGGTTTCGTGACCACCAATGAATTTATATAGAATGAAATGAACACATATGAACAAATGCAAGGACCTTAGCTCTTTAAACCGCTAAGAAAAGAACAAACTCTGAGGTTGACTCACTCTACCCTCATCCAGATCTTTCGATCACTTCTTTGGGTCCGTCAAAAAAACAACAACAACACAAAACACTACTTCCTTAAGCAACAAGCAGGCATTTTCTGTCTGCAGTGACTGGTCTTGTGGACTTTGTTTCTTCTCTTCCAATCCTCAGGAATCGCTAGGCCAGGCCACTATCCACTATAATATAGGCTAGCCTCTATTAGCGATGCCACTCGCCACTCGAAAGGACCGGATCGTTCATGATCTCTCAGGAGGGAGCAGCCAACGCGAAGCAAACGATGCGAGAGATGGTCAACATGGTTCCCTCACGTTTCCCTCGAGACATCTTCGGAATGTCCATGTGCACCGACTCCGCGTCTTCGGAATGTCCAAGAACTTGTGACAAGCAAAGGGCTAGGGTTTTGACCCATTTACATCGAATGAAATCGGACTTTCCATCTCTGGTCACCTTTGCAGTTCCCAGCAAGCTCGCGGCCGACCTCTCCTATGTTTATAGTGATATGACGGCCGTCGAGTCATTTGATACTCCTGATACTTGCAAGTATACCCAGTCTGGGCAGGAATCAAGGAACCAAAATGGTAGGGGCCCATGTCCAGAATTGGAAACACCACCCTGGCCATCGCTCGCCTGTCCCACGCCACAAGATGCCTGACGGATGCGAACACGGGACGGACGGACGGACGGATTCGTTGGATTCGTTTCGCATGTTCTTCGACGGGTTTTTACGGGTCCATGGTCAGTCTGCTGCTTCTTCCATATTCTTCCATGGTCGGTCTGCTCCGTTGTCCTTCACCCCCACCAGAAGTCCCACATACGTCTCAACGCCGTGCCCTGAAGCTCTGCCACGCCACACCAACTTCAGTCGTCGAACACGCCGTGCCTTGAAGCTCTCAGCCGCGCCGGCCGCTGCGCCGAGGGCACCTTCCAAGCTCTGCTGCGCTAGCAAGGCCTGTGCCACTGCCAAGGACCTCGAGGTCTGCACTTGGAGCGGTTTGGGAGACAGATCAGCTTCTTGGCTCTAAGTTTGGGCTCAAGCTCCACAGAGGCTCCCCTGTTTCAGTTTCTGAGGGCGCCCAAGAGGTGCCATGTGCGTACGGGTCAAGTGGCCGCGAACGGCCTCTGTTTCAGCTTTCAGATCAGCTTCACAACCGATGCATCAAACTGGAAGATGTTCTTGGGGAAAATAGGTTCCGGTGCGTCGACGGGTCAATAGGCCGGATGATCTTCCAGTCCCATGGATTGTCTGGGTCTGCAGCTTTGCACAGCTTGGCACTGCTGCTTTGCACCTGTCGAGCCGAATTGGTCTTGCACGCCGAGTAGCGCAGCGGCCTCGCCCGCTTGGTCGCGACCGCCAGCAAGGAGGGCCTGCAGCGACCGATCGGCTCCGCGAAATCGGTGGATCATGTGTGGCACCTCCCTGCCACATACTGAGGGTCTCAAACCTTGACAATTCGTGTCATTCAAAGCGCCGTTGAATTCGCCAGGAGTCAACCAAAGACATGGTGAACCGAAAAATCTGCTGCCCAAACACCCCGGTCACCTCTGAAAAAGAAGCCCTGATGCTGATCAAAGAACTCTTGGCATCCCCTGGCATCCTAGTACTTCGACCCAATTCCTACAGCTCGTCCAAGGTCTTTTCTGTCCAAATCCTCCCCAAAGTGGCCCAAAATCCAAACACTCCATGTATATACCTACCTTGACCCCTTTTCCACCACCCCAAAGTATAACTGATGCCAGTCCCCCACCACCTCGTGTCTGGGAACCACAACACCCCCCGGCGATGTGCACCTCGCCCCGAAACGATCGCCTGCGCGTCCTTGGCGGCGCCCACCGCCTGCGCCGAGCCCAACAGCACTTTCGCCGCCAGAAGCTGCGCCAAGGCCTCGCCCCTCCGGCCCAGCGCCAAGGCATCGGAGCCACGGCCAGGCAGCTCCTGCGAGCACACGATGGATCGATCTAAAGCCCCGGGTAAGACGGTTTACCTTCGAAGTGGCTGAGTCCCACTAACAGTGAGCACAATCGATGAGCACAAAAGCAGCACCAGGAAAATTGAAAAAAAAAAGGTCTGGGTCCAATCAAATCTCCCATGCACTCTCCTGCTTTCATTTTGAAATGTGGGGCTGGTCCCGGCTGGCCTGGGCTAGTGGCTCTGCTTTCATTTTGAACTGTGGGGTTGGCCCCTGGCTGGTTTGGGCTGGTGGCCCTGCTTTCATTTGGAAATGTGGGGCTGGTCCCTGGCTGGCCTGGGCTGGTGGCTCTGCTTTCATTTTGAAATGTGGGGCTGGTCCCTGGGCTGGTGGCTCTGATTCTCGATTTCGTCAAATCTGGTGCTAGAATTCGTCAAATCCGGTGCTCGATTTCGCCAAATCTGGTGCTAGAATTCGTCAAATCTGGTGCTAGAATTCTTCAAATCTGGTGCTCGATTTCGCAAAACCTGCTGATTTTCTGGAAATTCTGCCCAGGGCGGAGACACAATCCAACTCAAACTCAAAAATCACTTACTGGCTGGTGCTCGAATTCGTCAAATCTGGTGATCGAATTCGTCGAATCTGGTGCTTCGTCGAATCTGGTGCTCAAATTCGTCAAATCTGGTGCTCGAATTCGTCAAATCTGGTGCTCGAATTCGTCAAATCTGGTGCTCGATTTCGTCAAATCTGGTGCTCGATTTCGCCAAATCTGGTGCTAGAATTCATCAAACCTGGTGCTAGAATTCATCAAATCTGGTGATTCTTGTGGTGGTCCTTGGTGGTGCTCGATTTCGTCAAATCTGGTGCTAGAATTCGTCAAATCTGGTGCTCGATTTCGTCAAATCTGGTGCTCAATTTCGTCAAACCTGGTGCTTCTTGTGGTGGTCCTTGGTGGTGCTCGATTTCGTCAAATCTGGTGCTAGAATTCGTCAAATCTGGTGCTCGATTTCGTCAAATCTGGTGCTCGATTTCGCCAAATCTGGTGCTAGAATTCGTCAAATCTGGTGCTCGATTTCGCCTAATCTGGTGCTCAATTTCTCTGGCTGGTGCTCGGTTTCGCAAAGCCCAGTGGTCGGGCTGGTGCCAGAGCGGGCAAAGCGGAGACACACGCGCGCAAAAATTGTGCTCTGGCTGGTGCTAGAATTCGTCAAATCTGGTGCTAGAATTCGTCAAATCTGGTGCTCGATTTCGCCAAATCTGGTGCTAGAATTCGTCTAATCTGGTGCTCGAATTCGGCAAATCTGGTGCTCGAATTCGTCAAATCACCCCACCATGACCTTTGACAGTGGTGGACAAGCAAGACAAGCATTCACCATCTTATATCATTTGCAAGGCCCACACACATACACACCTTACAAGAACTGGGTCTGGGGCAGGGGATGGGTGAAGTGAGGTATGATTCTGATCATGGTGAGATCTAAACTTTTCAATCTGGGTCAACCCCAGCAATTCATTGACCAAATGTCCCAAAACCAAGAGCCATTTCCAGCAATTCGCTGGTGCTCGTTTTCATGAACACACTTAATAAAAATCCCTTGTTGAACTGTTACTGGGACTCAGCCCCATCTAAGGTATACCGTGGTATAGTAGGGTGCCTTTCATGTTTTGGAAGGGGAGGGGAAGGGAACAGAATGGGAAAATGTCAGAGGCGAAGTCAGTCGCGAGTTGCTCCTGAGGATCATGATCACTTAAAAAGGTACGTCGCCATATCTGTGTCGCGAAGCACGCTGAGTGCACGCTGAGTGTCTGAACCTGCAATCTCCACCCATGCTTTGTCTGAACATGTTTGGAACCACCACCATCTCTAACCCCTTTGGGATCCATCGTCCAACCCAAATGCTGAGTGCTAAATACCCCTCAAAGAGCTCCTGAGCACGTCCGGTTCCGGTCGTCTGCTCTCCCCACCTGCAGCTTCTCCACCACGCGCCGCGCCGCGGTCGGCTTCCCGCGCCCGCAATGTGCCCGCGCCAGTCCGGCGACGCCGGCGGCCACGGCGCAGCGCGCGACGGGGCCGGAGAGAGACTCAGCGGCGGACGCAGGCGGTCGCGCGGGGGAAGGAGGTGAAGGTGGCGGAACGCAGGAGTTTTGACCATGGATCGGTGCCTTGCAATGTTTGATGGATCATGATGGATTTGATAGTGATTTGATCATGGAAGATCATGGAAGTATATTGGTGACTAGACCAAACAGGTTCTTTTTGAGTGTGTTTTCGTGTTGGTTTTCGTGCCAGGTCTGGGATTGGAAGCTCCAACAAACACCAGGGCGAGCGTTCGATAGAAACTCCTTTGTGAGCAGAATGTGGCCGCCTCTAGGAAGTGATGCTAAAAAGCCACCAACTAGTAGCTTCTTGCTAGTAGTAATGGCCTCCAAGCTAAATCACCATAGGTTCTTGCTAGTAGCAACTGTCTCGAAATCACGCAAATCGAAGGTAGCTCGCTTCAGCGCATTCGGTGAACGTTGGGAGCTTTGAAATCGTGGACGGTCAGCGGAAACCTCTTTGGTCCTACGGCCGAAACGGAGGGGCATGCGGCGCGGAGGCATGCGGAGGCATGCGGCATGCGGAGATGTCAGAGATCAGAAACCTCTTTGAGTGAAGGGAAGAATGTTCCTACTCTGCAAATCTCTGCAGTGGTTCACAAGCAGATCGACAAAAAAGCCGGCGGAGGAAGGGAAAATCAGGAGGACACCCATCGTTTTGAGGGTGAAAACCATGGTGTCCGGTAGATCTTATCTTATTATAACCAATCCATTTAGATTCTCATGCACCAACTGAGTTCGGGTACCAGTTTTCACTACACACCGAACACCGGTTGACCGCGAGTGCCCAAATTTCGAGCCCAGCGTCCGTGGCAGTGGCCAGCGCTTCTTCGGCAGACCGCACACCCTGGCACCGCGAAAATGTAAGGTCGAAGACACATCACCCTCGAAGTGATACAATTATGGAGCAAAAACCATCCAAACACCACTCGGCACGACCCAGCTTGGATGGTTTGTGGATGGAAAAGAACAAAGTGGACGGGGGCCTCTAAACATTTCTAAACCAACCAGAGCTGCGTGCTGCTGAGATAGGTCTTGAGTCCTGCAGCACTACTATTAACTCTTGGGTTATCTTTGCATGTAGCCTGGGCACAGCTGCCACAGGCCTAGCACCGTTCAAGGTGTGTTCAGCGCTCTAGCCTTCCAATGCTTGTTGGAACTAGCTGCGGCTCTCTTCCGGGAAGACATGGCAAGACAAAATGATGTCAACGAGACCTTGGTTGACTGATGGATCTTTCTTTCTTGGAGAAGAGTAAAACCTGTGCAATCGACGACAAAGGTCCTGAAGGTCCTGCACTTTTCGATAGAGACATCCCAATTGCCCTCAGTAAACTTATCAAACAAAGCACGAACACAAGACCCCACAAAACGCAATATACCAGCACCTTCAAAACAAAGTCCCGGTCGTCCCTACACCACTAAGGGACCTCCATTGGACACCCCTTGAAGGTCCAGGTAGTTTTATTGCGTCCAACAAAAACTCGGGAGGCTCCCAGAAGCAGCAACAAAGGCCTTCCAACATGTGTCATTGGACTTCTACCGGGCCTCGTGACACCGTAGCTCCCTGCGTCAACTCTTCCTCGATCCCGGGCGTCCGACTGCGAGTCAGCGGGTCGACCCGGACCCCACGACCTCGCGCCGGCCTGGCCAGGATCTTCCGCCATTTGCAAGCGCGAGAGTTCCAGCAAAGCCCAAGACTCCGCCACTGGGTCCTGGTGCATGGCCCGCCGCGCCGGTTTCGGGGGGGGGGGTAGGGTGGGAAAAAAGCAGAGTAGATCAACTACCAGGGGTCCTGCAGCAGGAGAGTCCTGCAAAAACCATCAAAAACCTGAGTTTCCCTAGCATAAAAACATTGTTCATCATTGTTCTATTGTGTGTGAACATGTTTTTGTCATGGGGTTTGAGGGCCACTGGTAGTATAGATTGGAGCCTTCGCGCAACTTCTTTTGGACAAGAACAAGTCCCCCATGCACCCCATGAAAAGGACTATCAAGCACTTTGTGCTCAAAACACCTCAAAACCCATTCAAAGCAGTCCCATCGCAACCCGACCCTCTACGGCACAAAAGACCAAAAAAGAAAGAGAAGCAACATGAAGCAACGGTAGACGACCCAGCTCCGCACAAAACAAACGCTACAAAACAAGAAATAACACAGCTGGCTATAACAAAACACCAATTAAAACACTACGGCTCTCTGACCGCACTTCGAACGCCTCGGTTGACCGGTTTTGGGCGGATCCCCCTTGTGCGGTCCCCCGCGAGCCCGCGACGCGGCTTCCTCGCAGATGCGGCAGGTCTTCACCAAACGTTGCGCTGACTGCAGGGCCTCCTTGGGGCGATGGTTCGTGAGCGTGGACAGCAAGAGGGCCAAGCGAGCGCCCGCCTAGCCGCGGCGAGCCGGAGACGTGCGGCGACGTACGGCGATGCAGGGCAACCAAAACTGCGGCGCCATGCAGCGCGTGGGAGCGGCGGCTGGATAAGGGCGACGCAGGTGTGGAGGGTTGGAAAAGGAGTCCATGGCATGAAGGTGTTCCTCTTGTGGGCCATGTTCCAATCTATCCAAAGCAAACGAAATAGGGCCAAAAAGCGCTAAATGGATGAGCTCGACATGAATTTTTCACTGAGCTACTATGGTCCACCAGCACAACACTCCAACAAAACGACGAGACACAACGGCCGCCGGTGTTCCGCACCGTGTTCCGGAGGTTCCGACCGCGCCGAAGTCGTTCGTTCGTTCGCACGTGGGCCATCCGATGGGGCACCACAGAAGCGAAACGAGATCCGAACAGGCTGAGCGTTGGAGAGGGAAGTGAACCACCCCCCCAACGCTCACGCGAAAACGTCGTCTTCGTGGCTGCCAGTTCCACTTCCAGCGTCGGAGAGGGGAGTAGATTCTTCATTCCGTTTGGCTCAGTTCCTCTTCCCTCACCCAAGCAGTCTTCCAGTTCGTAGGGATGAAGGGACAGTTACATCTCAACATCGGAACGGAAAACAACCGCCACCCGAAGCCTGTCCGAAGCGGCTAACTTGGGACCCTTTTGGAGCGACGAAAGGCGCTGGAAGTGCCATGTGAGGCCAACAGCACGAGTCGCAAATCTGGGTCGGGTCGCATGAGGCTCGACGGACGCGAGCGATTTACAGCACCATTGGGCGACATCGCCCACATGCGCATGGCCAGATGCAGAACAGTGTGAAGATGAAAGACACGTCAGAACAAGGAAAGTCTCGCCACTGCCCAACAAAACCGCCAATATCCAGTTGGCCTCCCCTTCTGGCACGAGGAATGCAACCGCGTGTACCCTTCTGGCACGCACCTTAGCCCCTGCCGTCTCGCTGTCATGTGGCTCGGCCACAGTGCCAAACCACGTTGGCCCCAAAGGTACAAGTGCTTGGAAGACCACGGAAAGAGCCTCAGGCCGAAGAACTCCCAAGCACCCTAAGCACCCTCGTGCGCCGGTGTGTGAATGAGCAGCTTCTTTGGTCCAAATCGGATGCCCGGACACACCTGCCGATGGCTCCGATCGTGCGTAGCTCATTCATCGGTAGGGCTCTGAGGTCTGACCGGTATGACAGGTCACAGCCCGCTTTGCAGATCCCAAAATGACATGGTCTGCTCAGCCGGCACAGGTGGCACTCGGACGCATCTTTAAACAAAATGATTTGGCAAAAGAATACTCAAACACTCCATGTATACCATATATATGCCTACATTGACCCCCAAAACCACCCCAATGTGGGCATATATGGCATACATGGAGTGTCTGGGATAGAGATTGCGAACGATCACCCACCATGACCAGAACCACAAAATACAAGAAGATTGGAGTATACCAAATGACACTTCATCCGCCGCAATTCTTCGCCAATTCTTCAGCGTTGCAATCTGACAGAAGGAACCACTGCTTGAATCAACTTCACCATGCTTTGCCTGAAGAGTGCCATCACTCACCACCAGTTTGCACTGGTGATGCGCACTGCTGCATCAGAAATACCTCTCCCTACTCCGGATTCATCTATATCAATTTCACCTATTAGTCCTTCTCTGTTCTTTTTCCATCGTTCTTGTCTATTGAACCACTCCAGTGGCAGCAAGGCCGACCGCCATGGAACGCGGCACATGGAGACGCAAATCACCAACAACCAAGGAAGGCGCAAGGGAGCTGCCTTCTTGCTTTGCTTGGATGTTGACCTGAAACGCACGTGCCATCTGAGTATGAGTCACACGTAATTCGACTCGGTCATACTTCACACATCTGGACGTTCGCAAACACGGAATTCACCCATGGCAAGGAGTGCTGGAGTCCACCATGTATGCTACTGTACCTGTCCTAGGTACCCATGGGTGTTAAAACAACAAACATCGTTTCTTGCCTGCATACATAGGCTGCAATCCACCTTGTTTGTTGACCACACGTTTTCATGCAGCCTCTTCGCCAACCTTCTGCTCCAGAAAGGGCAAAGAAAACAAATAGGACAAAAACACGTCGTTCGAGTAAATATAGGGTAAACATCTAAATTCCCATACGTGGACATGGTGCCCAGACCTGATTTTCCCCCAAAAAAGAAAGCGCATCGAAGACAAACACCGCAAAACACCGTCACTCGGGTCGATTGGCCTCATTGCCCAAGTCTTCAGCATCGAGTGCCACTTGACAGGCCTCACTCGCTGCCTGTTGCGCCGCAGAGGCCTGGACATACGGTGCTTCGGTAGCGTTTGGTTCGATGCCCAGGTAGGATCCCCATCCCAGCTCGACCAACCAAGCAGCTCGACCAAGGCAATCTGAATCTTGTCTGAGAAGAAACAAATGTAGGACCGGACTAAAGGATTCACCCTGAACCAGGCGAACTGATTCTTTCAGGTATCTTGCACAACCAAAACCTGCTGACTCGTCAGCCGAAAACGGCTTCCGGCTTGAGAAGCTGCGTGGAACAACCGCCCGTCGGGCCGTCGAACCGTCAAAGTCGAATTCCCATGCCATCCGCGTTATGTGTCGTGTCGCCTCTCCGAGCATGGAGCTAGCAATGGCCACCATGCAGCCAGCCGCCACCTGCGAGTCGTGCTGTGCGAGTCGCGCACGACGACGGCTTAGTCGGCGGTCGAGAAACCGAAGGCGACCGGAGGATCCGACGGTCTGCGACCAGGAAGTGACATGAGAAGAGACCATCTCTACAGCTCTAGACTGTGACAAATATATGGAAACAAAAACAAACACGAGCTAGTGGCACTTCCAAGCAATTCTTTGGTGAGAAAGAATTTAGGCACATGACTCACATGACTTCTATATTGAAGACAGGGCAAGTGCTCCATAAAATTGGTGCCTTTTATCTATACCGGCCAACATCCCCAAACCCTGAAACATGTTTCAACATGTTTTGGTCGACTATCTACCGAGGCCTTCGTTTTGTCTTTTTTTCGGGTTTCATGGCTCTGGCACCGGGCAGGAATATGTTGGAATTGCGACTCACAGGTGCGGTTGGATTACCACTGTGACGCACAGCACCATATCATCGTTCGTGGTCACAGAAAAAGAATCAAATCTCTGGTCCTGAGCACTTGGTCCAATGTCCACTTACTAAATTTAGATATATCTATTCCTGTGTTTTGGCTTCCTTTAGGTATCAGTACAAGTCGTTCCGTTTTAAATTGCACCCTCAAAACTCAAAACCCTGAAGATAACACAACCGAAGTGGAGTTCCAGGAGGAGACTTCGTTCTTGGGTTTTCGGCATCGTTTTCCAAGCCCTGTGCAAATTCTCCATCCCTGCGACCATTCTACATAAAAACTGAACGCTAGGTTTTTGGAGGTCCCTCATACAGTGGCAGCATCAAATCGAGGAATTCTCCTATCCAAGCACACATCGATAGATTCAAGGCTCTCAGCAAGTTTCGGAACATGACGTTGAACATATCTGGCTTATTTACAGTATATCTTTGTTGAGATGCTCTCCAGCCGTTATCAAAACCAACCCCACAGCACATTCCTTCAACTATCCCAAGATCTCCTTGGTCGCTCACTCTGGGCGTCGTCGTTGCTTCGTGTTGAACGGTCTCAAAAATGCTGGCGCCATCCCCGGCGCGGCGCCCACCTGCCCCACGGTGTCGTTCAGGGAAGTAAAGATCTTCAAGACCTTCTGGCTGGTGACCACAGCCTCCGGCGGTGCCCCAGAGGCTCTAAGAGCCTGGTTCTCTTGAGATTGACATTTGGTGACTCCCTGAGATATGAAACATGAACATCATTCTTTGGACTCTATGTCCCACACAAAACAACCTCTCACACATGCCGGTCATTGGGATTCTATGATATCATGACATCATATCGGCAAAACAATCCCATAGACTCCATGGGACTGCCATATATGCCTGACCCCCCAAACCACCCCAACTGATTGGCAGTCCTACGGCAGTCCCATGGAGTCTATGGGAATAATACACCAAAACCACCGAGTCATCGTCACAACACAAACATCACAACACCCGGTGCAGGGTCGTACTACGGGCGCATTGACGGCAAGAGACCCGTCGGACGTGACCAAATCCATGGGATTTGATGCGGGTGGAGAAAGAGATGAGGCATTGACATGTATTTAAACAGCAACGGCGGCCGGATGTTAACCGCTAGTTTACACTCTGTTTCTTTTTTTTCCGTTTTCCAGGGCATGCTTTAACATGGGTGCCATGCCCATGGTTTTATCCCGGGAAATACATCGTAGCAACCTCGACATATAGATCATGAGAACAACAAAGACAAACACCACAAGAGGTCATGGGGTGGAGTATACCAAGGTTGTATATACTGACCTTGCAATTTGATAAGTTCACCTTCTCAATTTCAAACCATTTCACAAACCCATCATTCTGCATCATATGGCCAACCGATGATACTGTTTTGAAACCGATGACAATGTTATGAAAACCGATTGAAGTGGTGATGATGATGATGATGATGATGATGATGATGATGATGATGATGATGCTGGTATGGTGATGGCTAGTTATGATGATGTGTTCTTCTTGCTGAGTCTGGGTACTGCCATGGTACACTTCATGGGGGAATGTCGTTCTTTTTTTTTATGAAGTACATGGTCTCCCCTGCCTCACTGGGCAGATTCTGCTGGAGCTGAGCCTCACAAGAACAAAGGTGCCACAAACTGTGGTGCCACTAAGTTCAATACTGGTCAATCAAGAGGTTCCTGTAGTTATATACCGTAGAACCTACCTACACCCCATACCGCATAAACTTTCTGCAATGTTCTCCTGATACACCGTTATGTCTTATGTGAAAGGTTGCATGCAGTCCTACCAAAACCAAAGGTCTAGAAACGAGTGAACCGCCAACAAAGAAGTCAGAAAAAAACATCACAAAAGTGAAGCAAACTGACATATATATATATTATATTTGGCTTTGATACAGCAAGCCGAATTCATCCAAATAAGTCCTGCTTGATCCTGTGTTGATCCCGACGTTCTTTCTTTTCTTCTTACCCAAGCCTAGTCCTATGTCCCAACACTCTGTTGATCCCCGGTGTTCCCACCTGAGCCAAACTGCATAAGGCTTCCACCTGCGGAACGGTTTGTTGAGTCAAAAGCGCCTGGGGAGGTGGTGGCGCAAACGCATAGGTATGGTTCATCACAGGAGGTTGCGTGCGTGTGTGTGTGTGTGTCACTTGCCTCTCTCTCTCTCTCTGTCAAATGTGGCAAGTCCACAGCACGAAGATCTGGGAATTTGCAACGGTCGCATGTTTGAATCTAGCATGTTCTGCCTTTGAACTTCCCCAAGCAAAAGTCTCTCTGCAAGAGTGTCAGGTATGCGCCCAACACCAACAGCGGGACCATCAGAAAGTGCAATGCTGAGAAGTTCTTGCAGTCACCAATAATTATGTATTTCTAGAACCTGAGTGACGCCGTTTGCAGCCAAAACATGGTCTTTGCCTCTCAAAACAAAGGTTAAATGGGTTCTAGGAATACACTTCTTCTGTATACAACCTGCAATAAATAGCTGCTGCCACTAATGACCGGCAAACACCATCACCCCAAACAACCCATCTCACCTGCAACAAGGGCTCCTCGCCCGCCAAGTTGAGAGCTGCTTGGGACTGATTGCTGTCCAACTGGCAGGTGCCCAGGACAGTGTGGTGTCGGAATGAGGATAAGGCCAGGAGCAAAGACGCTACTAGGGGCTCCTGGCCTTACTACTAGGAGCAAGAACGCTACTAGGGGCTCAATGAGGATCTGTGACGCCCAAGCCCCAAGCAGATCAAAGTTAGGCAATGCCCGCTTGCCAGAACAAAGGAATCGCTTGCCAGCTGGAAAAGTGTTGGTCCAGAATTCGGAACAGTCAATTTGCTCAAGCAATTCACTCAATACCACTTAAAATATAAACATGTTGGGCAGGAACAATGATCCCTTCTCACCTTGTTTCAGTGTTTGGCAAGCACAACATGAACAGAACCGTCTAATGTTGGATCACGATTAGTAAAGGGGACTTCTATAATGCTAAATTTTTCCAAAGTTATTCAGACCCCCCTTTTTGAAAAATGGTACCTCTATAATGCTAATTTTTTTTTGGCACCAAATTTTAAATTGGAAACCCAATTAATGAGGGTTTGAATTCCTTCTGAACCCTGTCCACCTGCACTCCCCCCCCTTCCTTCTGAACCCAATTAAACCCTTTATAAAACATTGCTCCTAAACAAATTTTCAA